GTGCGATTTTTAACTGCTCTCCAGCAGCCTTTAATGGTTCTTGAAAGCTAAACGGGTAGCTCTGAATTGAGTTTGTCACAATTGAGCTTTTAACACATCTGTTCATCATGGCTGCTCATTAATACACTTTATTCTGATCAGACCTTTAAATTACCTTGACAAAGATCACCATCCTCCTCCTCACCACCACCACCATCCCCATGGAAACATCCCAGAAATGCAAGGGGGGGGCAATACACCCACTCTGGGTTTTAGTCCGAACTTTACAAATTTTACTCCTCTCGTTTGTTCAGATGGCTGTGCAACCCAGCCATAGACACCCGTACCAGGAAGTGGGCTGTGGAAGGCCTGTCGTACTTGACCCTGGATGCTGATGTGAAGGATGATTTTGTGGAGGATGAACCAGCCATGCAGGCGATGTTTGAGTTGGCCAAGGTAGGCTCTCCAACGGCACCCCACCCAAATGGCGCCCCTGAGATGTTTGATGCTATGGCTCCCAGCATTCTAGACCTTTGTTCCTAACTAGGTGGGACTTCTCGTCAGGCTGAGCATGACTACCCGGCACAGACACACAATCCCACTCCTAGCTAAACGTTTACCGTCACACCCAGAACAGCTGTGCCATTTTTTCTTTCTTTATTCACATCAGAGCATTGCACAATTTAAAATGCTTGATATAGATAAAATTCAGTAGGACCCCCTGTCTCCATAGGGGATTGGTTCAAGACCTCCCCCGCAGATACTGAAAACCGTGGGTAATAGTGAATGCTATACATACCATGCTAAAAGAAAAATCCAGAAAAAAAGTGTTTTCAAATGTATTACCAGTACTGGCCAGTTAGAGACCAGGCTATGTAATTTTCAACAACAAGAATATATAGCATTGTCTCTTGCTCCCTCTGGTGGCCAGTTCTGGTAACACACCTTGAAAATAAGGCTTTCTAGTTTTTTAAAAAATATATTTTAATATTTTCAGACCACGGAGAAGTAAAACCACAGATAGAGATCCCATGGATATGTAGGTTGCACCATATAGGTCAAGCGAGCTACTTCAATAGTGTTCTCTCAGCCATTTTCTAGATCTTCTTTTGTCTGCATCAATGGTATGGGCATAAGTGTTGCGTTGATGGAATTTTTCCACAATCCCCCAAAAATCTGCCCTGTATCCAAGTAGCCTCATTTTACTCGATTATTCTTGGCTCTCCTTCCTTCGCTTTGCAGGTGGCCCAGCTAGAGTCTTGTCCTTAGGCCACCGTGAACACACTTGAGCTCAACAGATTTCCAGACGCATCGATTCTTGTCTTATTTTAAAGCAGATCTGAAAGGGCGGCTTTTCACTCGGACATGCCGACGGCTTTTGAAGTGGCATCGCCTTAAAAGCTTTTGCTTCTTCTTCTTCTTTCTTTTTTTTCTGGGTGCAGACGAGCGATAAGACCATTTTGTACTCGGTGGCCACCGTCCTGGTGAACTGCACTAATAGTTACGACGTGAAGGAGCTGGTCCCGGAGCTGGTGCAGCTGGCCAAGTTTTCAAAGCAGCACGTCCCCGAAGAACACCCAAAAGTAAGCCTGCCTGGCGCCCTTCCTCTCACCGCAAGCCAAATCCTATAGATTACAAAGGTCGTAAAGTCACTAAGGCGGAATACAAAAGCTGAGCTTAAGGCCTTCCACCATTTTCTCATCCCCTTTTTCTCTTCCCCGCTTTTTCGCTCCCTCCCTCCCAACCTCAGGACAAAAAGGACTTTGTCGTCAAGAGAATAAAACGCTTGATCAAAGCCGGTGTCACCTCGGCCTTGGTTTGCATGGTGAAAGCGGACAGCGCCATTCTGACGGATCAGACAAAGGAACTCCTGGCCAGGTAACTCTGGCTCGGTCTGTGTGTGTTTCCTCTGAAGCCTGAAGGATAACAGGACACAGTGGGAGAACTATGTCAATAAAGACAGAAACATCAAGTACAGTGTTGCCTCGCTTAACGAGGATAATCTGTTCCAGAGAAATTGCTGTAGAGCGAAATCCTCGTTAAGCAAAATAAAGAATCCCATTGAAATGCATTGAAAACCCGTTCAATGTGTTCCATTGGGCTGAATAACTCACCGTCCAGCGAAGATCCTCCATGGGGTGGCCATTTTCGGTGTCTATAAAGTGAGGAATCCATCCAAAAACACAGCCATTTTACACAGCGGACGGCCATTTTGAAGCCGCCAATCAGCTCTTTTAAAAATGTCGTCTAGCGAAGAATTGGTTCCCGAAGCAGGGAACCGATTGTCGGGGAGCGAATTTTGCCTATTAAAACATTGTTTTACGATCGCAAAAGTGATTGCAAAACAGTCATCCGATAGCGGTTTCGTTGTTTCACAAGGTAATCGTTAAGCGAGGCACCACATAGATCTGTGCCGGTCAGGTGTTTGGGATGGCCAGTCTCAGAATTCTCCAAGAATTCTCCAGACCGTTCTGGCCCATTTTCGCTCGCCTGGAAGAAAGGCCGAGTCTTCTTCCTCAGCCTGCCTCCAAGCTTTCATTTCCTGCTGCAATGCATCTTGGGAGTGGTAGTTCTTCAGAAGGTGCTCCCTGCAGAGCATGAAGGGCAAAGCAATTACCACCCCCAGGTCGGATGGTAGCCTCATGTAATATTTTGGTGATCCAACAAAGGGATTGTTCACCCTTGATTTTTTTTAGAATAATGGTTCCATGTTATCTCTCTATCATGGAGCAATGAGTAACATAACAAGTTCCTTTCAAAATCCTGAGATTCTGGTCTAAAATTTAACCTCCTCAGAGGGCTAGGCAATGTGTCACCTTTCTTCATTACTCTGTAAAACACCGTGTACATGCATGACATGGCGGAGAGTGTTATTGCTGGCTTCTAATGTGATGGCTAAATAGAAACTCCAGTTTCAGGAGCACTCTATCTCGAAGTGCCAACTGCTGGACCAAACAGCCAGAGGGGAGTGTTGTATTTATGGCTCCTCGTGGGTGCTTTGGGAAACCTGATGTCAGACTAAAGAAATGCTTCTCCTGCTCCAGCCGGTGTCTTCGTATGGGACGTCATCATTGTAACCGTATTAACTGTAGATGTCAAGAATCACGAACCGAATCCACATTTCTCCTTTCTCTTTTTTTGGTAGAGTTTTTCTGGCTTTGTGCGAAGATTCGAAGGACCGTGGTACCATAGTGGCTCAAGGCGGCGGAAAGGTAAAGCCACCTCCCGGCTTTCGAGCCTGAAACATTCAGAAGCACTTGATGGAATTAATCAGGGTTTTATGGCTGTTCTTTAGGGGAGCTTGAAAGCTACGTTTCAGAGGCTCGCTCTGCCATCAGAAGCCTTTGGGAGCACTTTTGTAAAGCCCACCGACTTACATCCAGAGTCGCTTCCCAGAGACTGTGTTTCAATTACGTTTACACCCATGGACGACCTGTGGCATCCCAGGGTCATTTTTGCAGGTCACCCCAAAGTTGTCCTGCTAAAATAATTATAATAAAACCAAGTACATTGGATCAAAATGCCCTCGGTCTTCCCACAACATTATTGATGCCCGTGAGGATACCGATATATTGTGCAGACTGCAGGACTCAGCATTCCAGGAGCCAACTCCAAAAATAGGCGAGCCCAACAAAAATTTATAACTTGCTCCACTTGTTGACAAGCAGCATTGGCAATTGCTTTGTGTTTGGGTAAGAAGTGGTGAAACGGTGAAAAAAGGAAGTCCGCTTCTGGGACCTTCCCTTGCATGCGGTCCCTTTGTGAATGGCAGTGAGCACAAGAGGCCATCCTGTAGAGACCATCTTGACGGCTGCCATGGGTGTTGTCAATATTCAGGCTGCCCTTTGCTAGATAAAGCTTGGCCTCCTTTTTAACACTGGCCATGCGGGCACGATACGGCGCAGCCCTCTCGGGCAATTTCTTGGCATTTTGAATCATGGATGCAGAAGCACAATATCCCACATTGATAAACCAGAGATTTTTTTTAAAAAGAACTGAATGTTAAGCCTATGTCTCAGTTTCGCAACAGGTCATAGCGAATGCACACCACGCTTCCCCCTTCCATGGGGTGGAAATATCTGTTTTCAAAATAATCAGGAAGTGTTTTGTTAAATTCTAGTTCAGTTTGGTCAAACGATGGCTGTGATCCTTGGGTTTTGTTCCTTTTCCTGGTCGTCTTTAGGCGCTGATACCCCTGGCTCTGGAGGGGACCGAGGTGGGCAAGATCAAAGCCTCCCATGCTTTAGCCAAGATTGCCGCCATCTCTAATCCAGACATTGCGTTTCCGGGGGAGAGGGTGAGTCACGGCAGGCACCCTCGAGCACCTTCAGGGGGGAGGGCATTGGGGGGGCAGAAGCCACTCAGGTCCTTTGAGGTTGGTGCATCGAAAGGCACATCAGCCAGTGCTGGCCAGAGCTTGGGTGATTTCTCGGAAGACTAGAGGTTTAAGGTGTGGGGTAGAACAGACCGGGAAACAAGATCAGGCTCCAGTCCCTGGAGATGAGACGAACACACCGTCTTCCTGCTCTACGCCTGTCACAGGTCTACGAAGTTGTGCGGCCTCTGGTCAGTCTGCTCAACACCGAGCGAGACGGCATTCAGAACTATGAAGCCCTGCTGGGTCTCACCAACTTTTCAGGAAGAAGCGACAAACTCCGGTGAGTTGTACAGGCAGAATTTGCCTCGGTGTGTACGCCATGGCATAGCTGGTTTTTGTCCCTGATTTCTGTTGTATTACTTACAGCTATATTACGGCCGTAATATAGGAAAGAGGCTGAGGTCTAGCAGCCTTTTTGCTTTGTCCATATTTATCCTGATGACCCGCATACATCATCTTATTACCCCAAAGATTTTCTTTTATGTACTACAGTAGGACCCCCATAACCACAGGATCAGTAACCCCTGATTCAATTATCCATGGTCTGAAAATATTAAAAGAAAAATTTCGTAAATCTAACCATGGTATTATCAAAACTGGACACTAGAGGGACCTAGTGTGTGTGTGTGTTTAGTCGTTTAGTCATGTCCGACTCTTCGTGACCCCATGGACCAGAGCACGCCAGGCCCTCCTGTCTTCTACTGCCTCCCGGAGTTGTGTCAGGTTCATGTTGGTTGCTTCGCAGACACTGTCCAGCCATCTCATCCTCGGTCGTCCCCTTCTCCTCTTGCCATCACACCTTCCTAACATCAAGGTTTTTTCCAAGGACTCTTTTCTTCTCATGAGATGGCCAAAGTACTGGAGCCTCAGCTTCAGGATCTGTCCTTCAAGTGAGCATTCAGGGTTGATTTCCTTTAGAACTGATAGGTTTGTTCTCATTGCAGTCCAGGGGATTCTCAAGAGCCGCCT